GAAAACCTACCGCAGCTCCCCGTTATTGTAACAACCCTCCAACAAGACAAGCTGTGGGGACTAGAAAGGATATCAGATACGATTCTGATGACGATTATGATGATGATGATGAACTACGTCTTCAGCACTACTCCGCATACACTCCAGGATGCTCCTACCAACAGTACTAGTCGCCTTACCCCCACACCATCACTGCTACTACTGGTCTATCCTCTTCTTCTCCAACCTCCATCACCTCCACTTCCTCCTCCTCCTCAGCCACCACCTGTTGCTTCCCTTCCCCATCAGCAACTTGTCCAACAGGCTGTTCATCATCCTCTGGGACCTGACTTGACCGTCGCCACCCATACCCGCCTCACATCCCTACCTCGGCGCCAATCACTGCACCAGCACCAGGAGGAAGAGGCTGCATTGGCTCCGTCACCTTAGCCGCTGCATCCGCTGTCTCGTTAGCTAGATAGGAACTGAAAACAGTCAATCACATGAAGTACGTCCTGCCATAGCAGCCCTTTCGGCCGTTCAGCCCTACAGAGGCGCTGATGAGAGCTTTATAACGCGACACTCCCAGAGTCTTCCATGCCTCAAAATTTGTCGCGCGCCACGAAATTCTGCTACTATTACTACCATTTAAAAGGGAATTTAGTCGATTGCTTAACGAACTCTTCAGCAGCCCATCGGCTCTCGAAGCGCACAATACAGCTATCCTCCCTCCATATGAAGTCCCGAACACCCTTTACATCCAGGACCTACGTACCACGTGAAAACTCATACCATTTCTCCCCCAACTTACCCTGAAATATTCCATGACCACTGGAACCGAATCGAAGTCCGAGTCCATCTCCTCCAACAGCACTGCTCTCGGCCGATTATCCAACGTCATTCGATCTTGGGACTAAAACGCGTTGAGGAAATGCAAGATTCGCAAGATTAGCAAGTCAGCACCACCTCCTTGGACTGATTCTTCTGAAGTGCTTGCATACCCGCATACCGTGCCCGAATCGCTGCAT